CTGTTCACGACCTTCTGGGGACGGGCCAAGTCGAGGAGATGCCAGAGGTTGGGTCTCATGTAGCCTGCCCAGAGTCGTTGTAGTAGGAGCCACCACGGTCGCTGTAGTTGTTGACTGTAATTCACCCGTCAATGTTGAAGAGATAAATCTACCTCCTGATGCGGTGCTAAGGGTGGTATTCGAAATAGCAGTGAAAACTGCAGCAGGTCGTGACGAACTGATAAGCCCAGTCGTCTCTACATTCGTCCGTCTGCCAGAGAAGGCACGCACTCGAGTTAGCCGCGGTGAAGCCTCTGTTGAGCTTCCACGAAGGAACCCACAAGTATTCACTTCTGCTATCTGGCTAGCGTAAGAGTTGCGCATGACAGGCTCATCGCGTGTAGTGAGTAAATTGTCCAAGCGAAGAGAAGCTGAGCGCAGCAAACCAAACTGTCCCTCGGTAGCTGCTTGGTTACGTGAGTCCCCTATTGCACCTGAAAGACCATGCCCGCGGCGTCGACCTGCTCCAGATCCACTAGCGCTTCCAACCCATCCCCCTCCAAGGCTACTGTTGCTGCTGCTGCTACTAAGGCCTTCGCGGGTGTTTGAACGAGAGTAACGCGTCTTTGGAACAGCCAAATCGCGACGTGCAGCCCCGCCTGAATTGTTCAATCCGGATGCAGTCATAGATATCGGCGACATGGTTGAACAAACAGATCCACCACCTGCAGGACTATGTGATGGATCTGGATCTTCATCATCGGAGGGTGAGACTGAATCTGAAGGGAGTAAGGGAAGCACCTGGCCAGATGACTCTGTAGAAGAGAACCGGAGCCCACAAATTAGTTTGCTGGAGCCTGGAGGTGGCTGGCTATGACTGCGCCAGGACAAAGTGGGCAAGGCTACATGATTGCCTCGCGGACTTTTGCATGAAGCAACAGAGGCAGTGACTGTAGCAAGAGTAGGCGAAACGCAAGTAGAGAGAGGCGAATGGCCGCTATGGTGGACAGGCGCTTGCCCAAGTAGTAGAGATTGGCGAGTGCTAGAGCAAAATCCACCAGCTGTCTGGTTTGCAATGGCTTCGGCAATTCGGGAGCCCCGTATTGCACCTGTAAGACTTCGTAATACACTATTCGAGGTTGAGCAGCTGCCAGAAGCAGAGGAAATTGAGATTGGGTTGGAGGTCCCGGAGCCAAAGCAGGTCTGATTAGAATTGTGCGCTAGTGGCAGATAGCTGGAGTCAGTAAGGCTCTTGGGACAAGAGTGCATGTTGAGAATCTCTGAAAGGCCTATAAGCATCAAATTTAAAAGTTGTAATGTAAATGATAAGTTTCAGGAATACGGAATATTTGCAATGCTCATTTTTAATAGATGAAATCGAAACATAAGTGTTGTCACCCAAATAAGTTGATAATAAAATGGTATTTGCTGCTGAGTTTATCATTGTGTAAACACAATCAATTATTACGACACACTTCTTGTTCTATTATTGGGATACTAGAATATTGGAGTATTATTGAAAACTTTTTCAGAATTAGGAGGTCGTTTCCTCAGGCAAGCAGGAACCTGCTATAACAAATTTGACCTTAGATTAACATAGAAGAGCTGAGAAACATGATAGGACTGAAACAAAAAATAGATATGGACGACAAACGAATAGGTTTATGGAAAGCCCGAGGATATTGAGGCAAGATGAGTTGGCTATCTACACACATGCGGGTGACCATTCCTAAAGAATATAGAAATACGCCAAGCAAGTCATTTTGTTAAATATAAGGACAGATAATCAGCGGTCTATGTAACAGAAGTCTGAGACTACTATACACTTGGCCTCAATTCCAGCCAGGAATAAGGAAAACCAAAGAAAAGCAAGTAGACAAACAAATACAGAAAGTCTTACAGGTATTTTATAGCAAACATGATGCGCGCTAAAGTTAAGTAGGATGAGTTGAGTAAGGTGGGTTCTTTATTAGATAACCTTCGAAAGAAGGATAATTAGAGAAGATTAACTTTAAGAGTAGATATTGCAGGGGAATATATTTTTGTGCAGTTGGCATAATTAAAAAAAATGAAAGTAATTCCTTGCAGTAAATATTTTTGAGACCTGAGAGATTTTATGAGTATCGGTCAAAATGTTGAGTGCGAAAGAAGATCGATTTCGTGCATAAATAGCGACGAATGCTAGCCGCTGAAATTGTAATCAGAGTAAACAAAAAAGACTTTAATACAAGGTCGGAATCCTGTGGAAATGCACTTAACTATTTCACTATATTACAGAGCATCGCTCTTAGCCCCTAAGAATAAGATAACTCAAGAGACAGTTAACGGGATAACTCGTAGGACCGTAATAAAAATCGGTAAGGTTTTAATAATAACTGAGGGAATCATTTAGTTCTTCATAAGAAGATGACTATAATAAAATAGTGATGAAGGGATGAAGCACTATAACAACGATATGCTATCCTGAATAATAAAATAGCTTATGGAAACTGGCATCCCGATGGAATTGAATATGCCAAGAGGCTTTAGCAGACAAAAATGACAATGATGATGAGATAACCGTTAATCAAGGAATTTAATAAAACCATTAGCGAAGATGGACAGATATTAATGGCAAATATAACACAAAATACTAAATGAAAAACTAATTTGTAAAAGTATTTAGATAGCATTCTAACAAAGAATATTTTTACACAAG